TGATGTAATTTTTAAATATTAAATGACTGATAATTTGATCAGTTTCTCAGTTCTTGAGTTTTACCAAATACTTTTTTACTTTTACTTGAGTAAAAACATGTTGTAGTTGTGTGCTCTGGGTTAATTTCTGCAGTTGGAGGCCACATAAAACCACTCCAGTGTCCGCAAACGGCCCCTGAGCCTCACTTTGGAGACCCCTGGCTTAGATTATCTTTAATATTGGAGTTTAAGTTTCTCTAAGAACAGTATTTTTTCTCTCTCAGTTTAATTTGAGCAGACACCTCCCCCCTCCCCGACCTGCTGCTGCGAAGGGAAATCCAGTCCAGAAGCCCGATAAAAGGAGAATACGAGGAAATAAACAGCCGCAATAAACAAGAACAGGAATAACAGGAAGACGTTATGTGCTGGGAGGACTGGAGGGACAAAATGTGAAGAGAAAGAAAAAGAAAAAAGGTCGCTTTAATTTTGTGCTCTTGTTTTGGCTGCTGCCGCCGCTGCTGCATCTCCGAGCGCAGATAGCTCCTCACCATCCGCGCATCTGATAGTGATAAACGGCTGAAGGAGGAAGAGCAGGAAGGGGAGGAGGAGGAGATGCTGGCTGGACCTTCAGAAGGATTTCCCTGAAGCATCTGTCAGCATCTCAGTCGCATCACTGCCGACTTCTGTCGGACGCGAAGGGAGAGGAACCCCAGAAGAAAAGCGCGGATATTTTCCTTTCTCCTAAATTATTCATCTGCTTTCTGCGCTCCGCACACACTGCTGTCTTTGTCCCACATCTTCAGAGGATGATTTCAAACGGAGAGGCGGCGGACGGCGCCCCGGATTGCTCCAGCAGAGCGACATGCAGCCTAAAATAACCCCGGAGTCGGACAGCAAAGCGGCGGATAAATCGTCTTCTCATCGGCGCACTGCTGGCTCTGGTCGCTCAAGCTTCCCTGCGGCTTTCCGTCCCGCTGATGTTACCCGGTGAGACATCCCTGCAGCCTCCAGATCGCCGCTGAACATCACCTGACCTTCCGCCCACCCTAAAAACCCCAAACAAACCAGCGCCCGAACTCTTTTTCATGGCTTTTGTCTTCAGAAGATGGAGGGTGTTACTGCTGCTCAACGTGCTGGCGGTCGCAGGGTTCATGACCTTCTGGGCCAAGTGCAACACCCGCAGCGTGCAGGCGGCCGGTCCGGAGGCTCCGGCTGACGGGAGGCGGCCCCGGGCCAACGGGACGGCGCAGGGGCCCAGCGTGAGCCACGAGGTGCTGCTGAAGAGGCTCAGCTCGCTGGAGGATGTGGTGTACCGGCAGCTGAACGGTAACAAAACATTTCCACTCAGATATCATCACAAAACAGCTGGGAAGTAAAACCCCGACACCTGTAAGGATATTAACTGGCTTTCTTTTTCACCTTCTGGACACTTTAAAACGTACGGCTGAAACGATTAATCTAAATAATCTTGATTAATCGACTATTAAAATAATCACCAGCTAATTTAGTGATTAACTGAAGTATACAGACTCTAAAATGGACATTTGATTAAAAAGAAAAACTGCACTAAGAATAAATATATTTTGCATTTTTAGATTAAAAAAGTAAATTGCTCGTCACGAAATACTCCTGAAGGCGCAGATTTAGCTTCCCCCGATTCAAATTCTGTAAAAAATAAATAAAAATAAATCCTACTATGCACCTTTTAATATCAAATTATTAACCCAAAAAATAATCAACCGATCAATATTCAGTATATTTTTTAGCTGCAGTTTCATATTTGTTACNAATTATCTATTTTTTGCATTTTAGGGAAAAAAAATTAGTTTAATTTTCCAAAAACTAATTTAATTAGTTCCTTTTTGCGTCTTCTTATGGATTTTAAATATTGTGTGTAAAAGGCTTAAATGAAAACTGGTTAAATGTTTTAAATCTGATTAATCGATTAATCATCAAAAAAATGATAAAATAATTGAAGCATACTGAAACTATTTCCCATTCCTCTTCACTAAACAGCCGAATCCCAGGCTGAGTAGATGGGAAGCATCTGTTAACATCAATGTGCAACACAGATTCTCTGTTGGATTTATTTCTGGCCTTTGAGTAGGCCATTCTCACACATACATCCAAACCATTCCATTGAGAGGCAAAGCTTCCCTTCAGTCTTTTGCACGTTTTCATCCAGGATTATTTAGCTTCATCCATCTTTACATCAATTATAATTAGCTTCTGTTGCTACACATTCCCACAGCATGATGCTGCCTCCACCATGTTTCACTGTAGGGTCACAGTTTAAATTTTTCCTCTACATCTAATGTTTTGTTGTGGTCAGGAAGTTTGATTTTGCTCTCATCTAACCAGCTTTTCTTCTTGCCACTGAAACAGATTTCAGTGATTCTGTTTATCAGTGAAGTTCATGCTAACGTTTCGCCATGCGGTTTGTAACCTTTGAACTCTTGTGAATTTGTTCAACCTGAAGGCTCGTCTCGGTCCAACAGGTCTGTCCAAGTCCCTGGGCCTGATCGAGGGCTTTGGCGGCCGCGGGAAAGGCGGCCTGCCCGCCACGCTCTCCCCGCTGGAGGAGAGCGACGCCAAGTACCTGAAGGAGAAGTACGGTTACAACGCCTACCTGAGCGACAGGATCTCTCTGGACCGGACCATCCCGGACCACCGGCCCAACAAGTCAGTCTGTCAGCCACAAAAAAAACAAAAAACTCAGCTTCCAAGGCCTTCTAACGTCAGATTACAGATTACACAAAATTATTTGGTGCTTTCAGCTGTGAAAATAAAACAAGTTTTAATAATTCAGAAGCGACATCTATTTCCATAAATGGAAACTCGACTCGCTGAGAATAGATGCACTTGGAACTTTTTCTGCTCTGCAAAGAAAATCCAATTAAAACTTTTGAAAATGTAATTCACATGGAAAACTTCAGTTGCAAGAAGTTAATTATTTCAGCAAAAGAAAAGAGATATTAGATTATCCCCACGCCTTCATCTGAATATGTAAGTCATTCTGCTCTGGTGCTTCGTTCAGGCTTAAACATCAGTTTTAAAACATATTTCCAGTTATTTTCAGCTTTCATATTAATTTCCAAGTTGTATTCAACCCATTACTGCTTCAACAGAACTTTATTCAAGTAAAAGTAAAAAAATATTTGATAAAAAGTCAATTCAAGTATAACTGATCAGATTATCAATCAATTAATATTTAACAATTACATGACCAGCCGGATCAAAATATACGGTTAAATGGAAATTTTTGTATTTTAAGGACCAAAATGACAATAATTCATTTAAGTAACAAAAAATAAAATCAGGCAAAAGAAAAATGTTTCCAAATCAGTAAAACACTTTAGAAACTTTAACAGAAACTGCAGGTGTGTGTCTGTGTCTGGTGAATTTCTGGTTAAATTTTGTTTGTTTTTCATTTAGAGGGTAGAAAATACAGAAATTTTACTCAAGTAAGAGAAGAAATACTTAGTAATAAAGTCACTCAAAGTACAGCGTAGTAACATACTCCTAAAAGGAAATAAATAAAAGGTTACTGAAGTGAATGTAATTGAGTTAATGTAAGTAGTTACTATCCAACTATGTTTATATCAACCATAACTTAAAAGAAATTTGACTTCATAAATTGATTGCTTGAAATTTGGTTTCTGTCTCTTTAAGAAACTCCTGCTCTTTCTGAAGCTCCGCCTTCAGGAAGTCATCACAACATGGCTCCTCTATTAACCCTTTAATAATCAGCGTTTCACTGAGACGCAGCTCCTATAATGAGCTCAGCAGCTGTTTGCTAATTGCTGCTGGCTAGTCTGAAGGAGCTGAGCAGGAGAGTTGGAAGCTTGGAAACTGCAGCTCTGAGAAGGAGCTGCGTCTTGAAGGCGGGGCTACGTCCACCGAGGCGTTTTGTTCAGCTAAATGGTTGCCATGGAGATTAAAGGATTTCTCAAACATGCATGAAAAAAATCAAAGCGACACACCAGGTGTGATTTGATGAGGGAATAACTTTACAACAAGTGAATTTTACATGACACTGCCTCTTTAAGTGATTGTAAACTAGTATTTGTAATTATCTATTAAAAAGGGGGGAATTATTTTTATTTTTCCTAATTTTATTTGAATATATTTTTCCACTTAAAGAGATAAATCATGATTTGAAAATATATTTTTTTGTATTTGCTCAGATTTATTTTTATTAAAAGTAGTTTGATGATGACAGAAGTGTAGAAACAGGATCTCTAAGGAGACTAAATCTGTATATTTTATCTTTATTCATGCTGTAAATGTTTTTACCGAATGTTTCTTTTTCTGGGAACATTTTCCCGACCCAGTTTTCTGCGTAGGTGAGCAGATTAAAAGTCTCTACCAATAACGGTCCTTTGCTCTTTGCTGCCACCAGCGGCATGCATGTGTGGGTCCCCCCCGTTTCTCATAGCGTGGAAAAGCGTTCTTACTTGTCACCGCAGGGAGTCTTACAGGATGGTGGGAAAAGAGCGGCATGCGAAGCGAGTCTGGGTGTGATATCTGCAGCAGCAGGATGTCAGCTGGAGCCTGATGAGCCTCGCTGCGTTTCATTCAGGCTCCTTTTACTCTGCAGAGCAGGAGGTGGCGGAGAAACACGAAGGCAAAGCGAAAAAAGGAGCTAAAAGACAAAAAAAGTCTAACAGCTCTTGCATTAATTTATTTAAACCTGCAGACGTGAAACTTTGTGAAGCCGCTTGCATCCATCCGCACCGCTGAGGGAATCATAAAGGATGATTACTGACACAGTGTTCAGTGACTCTGTACTTGTGAAGTGACAAGTTCTCACTCACATTTGAAACTATTCATGCTGCTCTCCTACACACTGCTGTTCCTGCTTGCATTGATCATTCAACTCTGCTGCTGCTGGAATCGCTGCAGTTTCTACTGCAGCTCCTGCAAAAACACTAAATATTAAGATATTTGCTTAAATAAGACAAAACTAACTTATAAGTAACTTTTCAACGCAATATCTGAGCTTGTTTTAGGTCAATAATTCCTTAATATTGATTAAAAAGTACTAATTCACTTAGAAGGAAAATGTCTTACTGGTATAATCTGGTATTTTTTATATTAGGGGATCAATTGACCTTTTGGGCATGAATTATCTTTGGTCTGTAAGTTCCCCTAATTGGTCAGAATATTTTCAGCTGAATTAACCAAAAGGTGAGTCTAGGCTAAGTTTTCCTTTCAATTTTAATGGGGACCTATTATGCAAACATTCACATTTTGTAAGTTCTGAAAACAACCTAATCGTTAAAACCCAGCCAGTTTTTGGCAATAAGTTAATCTTTATAGCTGTCTGGAAAAAGAACTGTTTCTAAAACCTCTGAAATGTAACGGAACAAATCAGCAGGCGCTGCAGTGTTACCTAGCAACCGCAGCAGAATTCCGCCCGTCACCTAGCAACCCAGGCTGAGCTCCAGCATGTTTGGTCAGCTGGTTCTACCGCTGTATGTGCTGTACAATGGCTCCTGGAAAAGACAAGTGTTTTGTTGTTGCCTTGCCTTCCAGAAACCACTTGTTACAGTCTTGTTGGTTGTACAGGAGGATACACTTCTGCTTCTCAAAGATGTACGGTTATATAATTACGCATCTGTGGCAGTCATTTTTATGAGTGAGTGTAAATGTTGAGTTGGGGGCCAGCAGCAGCTTATTTGGATCTAAAGTGACAGGAGGCTCTAAAACAGCTCAGAATAAGCAGAACTGAGCAGATTAAAATCTCATCATATAAGAACGATTTGAGCCAAAGGAATAGTAAACATAGTAGGTCATCATTAAGCATTTGGCATGCAGAGGTAAGTGGATTCATGTAAACAGGATGGGATTAAGTAATGTTGGTTCTCTGATATTTGAGTTGTAGTTGTGCAGACTGTGTGGTTGTCGTAGATGTTGTGGGATTCATAAAAAGCTATGCTAAGTGTTAATTTCTTAAGGTAAACTGTTTTCCCACAGCATCACAGGAATACTAATAATATTTGTGTATATCACATCATATCACATCGTATGGAGTTCTCTGGGTTGATTATGTTATGTTGATGAAGTGTTTCTTGAGAAAATAATTCCTCCGTTTCACACCAACTCGATTCACTTCACATCTTTAGATTTTTCAGTTTCCAGTTCTGCCTTCCATGCAGCGACTGGAGCTTTGAATATTCCCTTTCAAGTCCCGTCTGATGTTCGCCTTTTAACAATGAGATCAAAGCTGCTGCAGAAAAAAATGTGTTTGCAGTTTGAGGCAGTAAAAATGTTCTTTGAGATGCGGTGATCTTTTATTTTTATTATTTAGAAACTAGAACTTTTCCAGTGGAAGTGGATAAAGTTGTGAGTGGATGAAATATTTGTGCTTCTTTTCTTCCTCTTTAAAGTCTATATTTTTATTTAAAAAACATTTTCAACGAGTGTTTAAGAACTTTATGAGTGTTTTCAATTTGCTTCGAGGAACTTTCATATTCGTTATTTCTATAAGATTTTCCTAAGAAATAAATAAAGGTAATAACACATCAACAATCTTATTAGTCTCAATATATATTTTGTTCATGTTGTAAGTCGATTAATTATTAGTCTGACGGATAAACCCCTTAATTCTTAGGCCCTTAATTTCATGTTTGACTGAAATGGAAGTTTATTTAATGTCATTTGGAAAAGAGGAATCATATTCCATCTATAAAATCTCTGCAGGTCACGTGACGTCCAACCCACTAGATCACTGAGCCGACTTACCGTTTACGTTTTACAAAGGAATTTTAAAAAGCATTACCTGCAGGTAATTAACCTGTTAATGCTTTGAATGCAGCGTGCAGCTGCTGCTGAGTTACAAAGATGCAGGCACATAAAAAAAGGTGCAGGAAATATTGGTGGGGACACGTCCACACCAGTCCTTCAGGACGTTACGCCTAACTGAAGGACAGTTAGGCGTAACTGTCATAAGGACAGGTGTTGGCTACACCTGTGGCTTTAGATTTAGTTTCTGAGTTGACCAGTCAGAAATATTCCAGAAAGAATATGGGGATGTCAAAACGAGCTCAAGTCGCTCTCTGGAAATTATTGGTTTGAGAAAAGTCATTTCAAAACATTATTGGTCGAATGCGGTGTCAATCAAAAGGGGGGGGGGGGGGCCTAGGCCGCCCAATAAAAGTGTCATAATGGACACTGGCAGAGTTTAAAGAGGAGAAAACGGCAAGAGAATTCAGACACATTAATTTATCTGAATTTCTAGTTTCCCATGGATGGGACCCCATCAGTTAAGGGGTTAATTAAGTAGTTAACCATAGAAAAGACGAGGTATAATTACTATGTGAACAGAAATTTGGAAGGAAATGTGAGATAATTTTTCAGATTATTCTTTCGTACATGAGTTTGAGCTTATTTAACAGTTTCTCAGTGTTTCTATTTCAAATTTTGTCACAAATCTTTAGGTGCAGTAAAGCTAAATTGAAGGGAAAAGTTTGGCAGATTAAAGAAAAGCAGAACGGCTCGTTGGGTTTTGACTCCTTTAATAAACTGACAGGAAAACTCTTGAATTAATCTGGATCCTGATGCGTCAGCGCTTTATGATCCTGGTCTTCTTGTAAGATCGTCTTGCAGTGGATTGGATGTTTGGATTTGGAAACAAAATTTCAAAAGAACAAAAAGTAATCTTACAGATGTTTTAATTTGTCTTTACAAAAGATATATACTCAGAAGAAATTTGCTTTTAAACTAGATTAAACGTAGTTGTTGTGACTCATTTATATGTCAAATGTAATTTACATAATTACTATTATTATTATCTGAATTCAACTTGATTGTTCATAATTACAAAGTACAAAGCATGATTGATTTTTGAAATCTGAGTATCTGGTTTTGTCTTGTATTATCTTGCCTTCTGTTGATTTCGGTTGCTAGGATACGAACAGCTGTTGCTGTCATCAGTTGTTGTGATCTGATTGCAGAAGCTTTCACTACGTAACAGTGCTAATAAAAAATATAAAGAAAAACGGCTCAGTTGTTTGTGAAACTGGTTGAAAGGTCTGAGCAGCGCTAGGACCAGCCCCCTCGTTCTGATTGGCTGGATTTCACCGAACGTTTCTGCAGATAGCGGTAGGACTACAGTGAGATGTTAGAATAGCTTGATTTTGTCACAAATTATGCAAGTTTATATTGTCAGCACTTAGTGACAGTTTTAAGAAATACGCATAAAAAAACAACATAATTTATAAAAGTTTTAAGGAGCATCAGAGAATTTCTTCATCATAAAAACCCCAGGATCAATCATGATGTGGTTTAAAAATCTCTGACTAAAGTCACGATGAAGGTCAGTCATTCATTCAGTTGAAAACCTTGGATTTATTATTTATTGACTTCCATTTATCTTTTTATCTCACACTGTTATTGATTAAAGAGAGACAACAGAGGAACGTGAAGGAAGACGTAACCGCCTACATGAGAGCTAAACTTAGAGCTTCCTCACCCTTCCTTCCTCTTTGCTCTTCATTAGAGCTGTTTGAGCAGAGGTGAAAATAAGCCTCCTGTCAGCAGCACACACACACACACACACACACACACACACACACACACACACACACACACGCACTGTGAACACGGCAAAAGAACATGTGATTAAGCCTGCAGAGAAAGCTGCACGTTTTTCCTTCCTTTGTGCTTTAAAGCAGCAGTGAAGGATGAATATTTGGATGAATATTTGGTTTGCATTAAATTTAGCTAATATTTGCTTTTCTTTCTGCAGATGTAGAAAAGTCAGCTATCCCCGAGATCTCCCCCAGATCTCCCTCATCTTCATCTTCGTCAACGAGGCGCTGTCGGTCATCCTGCGCTCCGTCCACTCGGCCGTCAATCACACGCCGGCTCACCTGCTCAAAGAGATCATCCTGGTGGACGACAACAGCGACGACGGTCAGTACGAGAAATTAACATTTTTCTACTTCCATTTGGGTTCCTACTGTTGCTAAAAACAACCCACGTGTCTAAAAAAAAAAAAAAAAAAACCACCAAACCCGTTTTTTTTGGTAATAAGTTCATGTTTTTTGGTGTCTGGAAAAATGAGCCATTTCAAAAACCTCTGGAATGTACAGAGGTACAAATCAGCCCAGTCTGTTACCTAGCAACCTCACGGAAGCTCAGCTCGTTACCTAGCAACCTCAAGGAAGCCCAGCTTATTACCTAGCAACCTCAAAGAAGCCCAGCTTATTACCTAGCAACCTCACGGAAGCTCAGCTCGTTACCTAGCAACCTCAAGGAAGCCCAGCTTATTACCTAGCAACCTCAAAGAAGCCCAGCTTATTACCTAGCAACCTCACGGAAGCCTAGCTTGTTACTTATCAAACATCTATATCTTGCTGAAAAGTTACTTGTAAGTTAGTTTTGTCCTATTTCAAATCCAGATGTGTCCAGTCCAAAGTACTCAAGTACAGATACTTGTATCTGTACTTCTAGTAAAAATAGAAGACTGTTTCACTCAAAGTAAAAGTAAAAAAGTACAAATTTTGAAGTAATTTTCACCTTCAAGAATACAAAATTATTTCCAATAAGTCTAAAACACTTAAAAGGTTCTAGGCATAAAAAACACATTATCTTTTTCTTTTGCTGACATTCTTTATGTTTGTATAGAAATAAAAAAAAATACTGATATGCATAGTTTTTCTTCATATCTGGATAATTTAGATGCACAAAACACAGAGCATTCGTCACTATTCGTTCTTTGAGCCAAAAACATGGAAGGATTTTGAAAATAAGGCTACAGATGATGAACGTCTGATTTGGTTGCATCCGACTGAATGGTGAATTATAACATGATAAAACACTTTTTGTGTGAGGGGTGGATTTTTTTCTGTTATTATCTTTATCATCATGGAAGTAATAAGACATATATGAACATAGAAGGAGTAGAAAGTACAAATATGTTTCTTATAATCTGGGGAGTAAAAGTAAAAAATCCTTAGAAAGGTAAATACAGACCTAAAGTACAGATACCTGAAAAGTCTACTTATGTAAAAGTAGCAAAGTACTTTTACATCTTATTTTATAATTCTGTTCAAGTGTACTAAGATATTTGCAAAAATACTTGGTAAGATTTAATATTTTTGCAGTGTGCAAAAATACACCGAAAAAACACAAAATATCGCCAAGTATTTTTGTCTAATTGTTAGTACACTTGAAATAAAATACATTTTCAGTCAAATAAATAAGATTGTTTTACGTCAAAATTCACTTGCAGATTTTATTTCCACTTATAACAAGAATTTTTTCCTACTTTATGTGAAATAATTTGCCAGTGGAACTAGTATTTTTTTGTTTAAATTAAAAAAGTATTAACTTAAACTTACGTATCTTGTTGAAAAATTACTTTTAAGTTATTTAGTTTTTATTTTATGTGTACTAAGATATTTGTGCTAGAAACTAGGCAAAAATTCCTGATAATATTTTGTTTTTGCAACTGAAACAGTTATTTTAATCTGAGAAGCGAGTATGCTCTGATTCTTGCTTCAAATAGGAAAATAAGTATCGGTGATGGTGATAATAATTTACCCCAGAAACCTTAAAATAAAGAATTCACGTTTATATGAGAGATTATGAAGCGGTAATAACTTTAACTCAACCTTTTTTCACTAGGAAGAGACAAAATATCCTGCACAGCATCAGAGTGTCATCATTTTTGCCTGATTATTTAATATTCACAGGACAAAAGTCTACTTTCATGTCGCTGTGGGTTCAGTGTTTGGAGCCTTTTGTGGCCTGATGAGCCTCTGGGAAACGCTGCAGGTTTGTGTGAAGAGGAGCGTTGAGCGCGGTGACTGATGGCGTCCATGTCTTCCTCCGACAGACAGGCAGATAGAGACAGAGCGATCAGCGGCATGTCACAGGAAAACGTCCCCGTCTTGTTCATCGGGGGCTTTCTGAGATGAAAACGGTTCAAAGCAAACAGCAGAACAAAGAAACCAGAAAGACAGAGAGGTGTCGGAGAAATGGGATGGAACTGCAAGAAAGGAAAGGTCACAGAGTGAAGAGAGCTGAAGGAAATGACAAAAGGCAAATTAAGAGGGAAGGTCAGAGAAGTGGAGAGGAGGAAGCATGAAATAATGGAAGAGCTGCGAGAACAAACCAGGCTATTAGAGAAAGAGGTGGGGGGGGAGATAAATGAGGTCGGAGAGCGACTGCAGGATCCGGAAGAAGTGGAGGAAGCAATCCAGCAGAACGGAAAGCAAAGACGACTTTGATGGAGACGATGAAGGGAAGACACGAGGCTGTCAGAATTAGACAATTAAATGTTTTCAATAAATCCAACATAGAGGTTAAACGCATCAGTCAGGCCTCCGAACCAAGTTTAACTCAGGCTTGACCACATCACAAATGGTTCCTATTGCAACTATGTGACTTAATCTCTCCAGGCGCCATGATGGACATCGGAAGTGAGAATCGGGAGTATTGAACTGAGCAACTGAAATTGTTTTCCAAAGTTGTCTTTGCCAGATTATTCGTGGCTTCTACTTGTTCGAGTCGAGCTAATTTGTCTGTGAATGTAACTCACCTGGTTGGGGCTCATAGACGGCGGGATTTACAGAAGTTGGAAAGAAACCGACCCGAACCTCCTCCCTCCTGACGTGTTGATCAAATTAATGACTTTGTCTGAATTCATACCACATGATTTATATCACTATGCCATAAACAGNGTTTNCCCTTAAACCGGAGCAGCATTAAAAACGTACAAGACGAGATGCTAACCAGTTTTTTCCATACATGCTAGGCTACGTGACGGTGCGGCATCGTCTCCATGGTTACCAATGATTAGACCTGTACCTTCTCCATAATGCATATTTGATATCTTTTCAATCTATCATACTTTCTTATAAGATAAGTCAACGTTAGTCTTCTTACCTTGTAAAAAGTATTTGCTGCTAATCCGCGGTTACACCGAGGAATGCCAGTCATTATGATTGATGGCCGATATCCATCGCCGCCACGTCTTTCCTCATTAAAAGTTTTACAATAAAATGTCAAGTTTGGTTTCTACCCTTGTCTGTTTGCGAAGCCGGCCGCGCAGCACCATATGTCCATTTTTAAGGTGAAATCAACTAAATAGAAGCGACATTACATTACAAATGTCTGTTTTAAAGGAGTGGTTCATTTTTAGACCTTTGCTGAGGTTGATGGGATCAGAGGATTAGATCGGTTTTATTGACAAGTATTGGCTGATCACTGATAAATCGGTGCATCCCTAACAAAAACATCAGGTGACATGGTCACTAATGATAAAACAGCACAAATTCAAAGCAGCACAGCACCATGGGTAGTGATCGGACCATTTTGAGCCAAAATGATCCAATTTTTTTCATTGACAAATATTTGAGCACATTTGCATGGTTGAGGTGCAGAAACCTCCCATATTTACAGTGAAATTCTGCAGATTGTGAAGAAACCTCCAAATACAGATGTGATATATCCGAGGCGCTAGCAACAAAGCAGTAGAAAAAATACATGTTTGGTGAATATTAGCATACAGTAGAGTGATTCACACTGTAAGGTAAATAAATATAATCCTACATAAAAGAGGATTAACAGTCACTAACTCAGCTGAATCCATTTCAGAAACACACTCTGAGACTTACACTGCAAAAATACAAAATATTACCAAGTATTTCTGGTTCAGTTTCTAGCAAATATCTTAGTACACTTGAAATACAATAAACTTACTTAAAAGTAATTTTTTAACAATATATAGACTCTTGTTTTAAGTAAATAATCCCTTAATATTAATGAAAAAGTTCTAGTTCTTTTGGCAGTTTATTTCACTTATAGCACAACATTTTTCCCATGTTATAAGTTAATTTTAGTATAAGTAAATTTTAGAACTTTATCATTATTAAGAAATTATTTGCTTAAAATAAGCCTCTATTTCTTGCTAAAAAGTTACTTGTGAATTAGTTTATCGTATTTCAAGTGGACAAACATATTTACACTGGAATCTAAACCAGAACTACTTGGTGAGATTTTGTTTTTGCAGTGTATAATACTCACTTCACTGCCTCACACTTCCATTTTAGCCTCGTTTGCATGGCAGCGTGTTTGCATGCATGGTGTGTGTGTATGCGTGTGTGTGTGCGTGAGAGAGAACAAAAACACATGGGAAATTGCTTTGTGATCAAGAGCATGGGTGAGAAGGACAGAGATAAGAGCAAAGAGAAACACAGAGGGAATGTGAAATGTGTTTTTGTTTTGGGGGGAATATTTAAGTGTGTGTGCTGGTGTGTGTAGGGAAGAAAGCGGAGGTTTTGCTCTACTCCGGAGGGAAACGGCTGATGAGTTAATTCATGGATCAAAGGTGGAACCGTAGACTCCCTTTGGTGTTGTTTGGAGTCTGCTGCAGCTTAAAGAAAGCACCGCAGGGAACCATGACAGCAGATTTGAGTCATCTTTCTGCTTCACTGTATGCCGGGGTCATGTTATGAAATTCATTTTTGCAAATTTGTTTTGAAGCCTTCTTTTTGTGTGTGTTTGTTTTTGATTACGTCAGGACTGGATATTGCAGGGCAGTAAAACGTCGGAGGAAAATAAATTATCTCCTGGCGAATTGTATTAATTTCCAAACAAATCTATAACATTTTCCTGTATGGAGTTATATAGGAAATCTTTTGTTTGTTTGTTTTTGGCGTGTTCGTTCACATTTACAAATATATGCGTCTTGTATGCGATCCCCAGTGTGAACTGCAAACGACCTGAAAGTGTCCCGCATGCGCAGTAGAGGGCGCAATAACGTCACACATAGAGCGCGTGCTCAGTGTTTTGCTAACCGCCGCAAAAAATTAGGAGAAGAAGAGCTCAGTGTTGGCGGAAGTAAAGTGGATGCTAATGATGGAGTATAGCTTAGATTTTAACGTTGTTGTCCGACCGGAGCAGCATATTAACAACTTAAGCCTCAATTCAGACACGGCTTTTCTTCCCGCTTGCGCCTTACAGCGCGCAGAATAGTGACGTTTGTCGAGTATGAATGACGTTCAGGTCGTATGAACGAGACCTCGCTGTACAGACTCGGGTCACATTTGAAAAGATCAGATGCGTATCGAACATCCAAGTGGCCTGTGTCGCATTCGAAACAAAATCCGATCTGTGTTGTTCAGATTGTTACGAAAAGATCGATCAGATACAGGTCGCAGGGGAAAAAATCGGAACTGGGTCACTTCAGGCTGCAGAGTCAACTATCCTTAGAACCTGCTCAGTGTTTGCCAACCGTCATAAGAAGAAGAAGTGCTCAGTGTTTGCGGAAGTAAACATGGATGCTAACGGTGGAGCTTAGCTTACGATTTTGAAGTTGTTGTCCAACCAGAGCCAGCAACTTAATCCTCATTATATAGTCTGCCATGGCTGTTGTTATTCTTCCTGCTTGCGTGTATCTGGACGCAGAATAGTGACGTCTGTCGAGTATGAATGACGTTCAGGTCATATGACTGCGACCTGGAGGTTCAGACTCGGTCACGTTTAAAAGGATCAAATACGTATCGGATTTGGTGTTCAGACTGTCAAGAAAAGACCAGATACGGGTCGCATAAAGAAAAAAAAAATAGAAAAAACAACTTCTGTTTAACTTCAGGCTGCGGTGTGAATGTAGCCCAATTCAGTGTTTCATCAGGACGAAGTGTAACACAGAGCTTTGCTTAACTGTAAGCAACAGCCTGAGTTGTGTGTCGGATTCCTCTGCTGGGATCGGCTTAATTTCCTAAGTCTGTGTCCTTCATGCTCTGCTTTCCATTAATCTGTCTGGAACTGAAAGTCTCAGAGTAAATTATTCTGCTGGCGCTTTCCCGACGCATTTTCTGTGAAAATGTGACAAGGTCAGACATAGTAACGTTCATTCACAGCAATGTACATGCGGCTGCGTGTGCAGTCATTTGTACAGATGTCAAAAAGGTTTAAAAGGAATAAATGTTGAAGGCAGCGACACTAAAACGTGCTGACAGGGCCAGCCTTCAATTTGAATACTAAATATTTTCTAAACAGTCAATAAGTTTTATAAGTTAAATATTTGGAACTAGTACTTTTTCATCAATATTAAGGAATTATTGAGTTTAAACAAGCTCCTATGTATTGTTAAAAAGTTTCTTGTAAGTTAGTTTTGTCTTATTTAGTGCAAATATTTGCACTTGAAACTAGACCAAAACTACTTGGTAAGGTTTTGTGTTTTTTGCAGTGTAGCGATGAATAATTACTATAAGGTGTTACTTTCTCAGCCTTTCACTGTCATATGATCAAAATCAACAAACATCTGTATTTCCTGAAGGTTCTCTTGTTATTCCCGTTTTGAAGAGTGTTTGTTATCGGCCCCTATAAGGAAAGCTATAAAAACTGAAATGTTTAAATACAGTCATCTGGATTATTTACCACAGATCAATAATGTTTGAAAGGTTTAATCGCCAGATTGTTGGTCTTTAATCTGTTGCAGAGTGAATTTATTTTCCAGCTGGGATTAGCGAGGTGTGAGAGTTTTCTGAATCTGTCGTGTTTGTTTTACAGAGCAGCTGAAGGGACCGCTGGAGGATTACGTGAACAAGCGCTACCCTGGACTGGTCAAGATCGTCAGAAACCAGAAGAGAGAAGGACTGATCCGGGCCAGAATCGAGGGCTGGAAGGTGGCGACGGCGGAAGTCACCGGGTTTTTTGATGCCCATGTGGAGTTTACTCCGTCATGGTGCGTACCGTCCTTCATCTTTTCTGTAATGATATTTTAAATTTCTTCAATAGACAAACAAATTTTAGCCTGTGCAGAGATTCAGGGAAGGATACTTGGGGCAAAAACAAAATGTAAGCGCCCATTAAAACATCGTAGAAATCTGATTCGCTTTAGGAAGTGTTTCTATAGCAACACAACACGGCTTGGCTGAGAAAACAGTAGAAATAACAAAATCAATAAAAGAAGTTAAGATTAATGATATTGTTGTTTTGAGACCATTTTCAATAAATAAGCTTTAAATTCTAATGAACCTTTAACACTGGAACTGGAAGACATTTTAAATATTCAAAATAAATAAACAAAACAACAATTAAAAAGAATTATTAAGTCTCTGCAAACAAAACTGTCCTTCAAAAAATGATTTAGTTGAGACCAAAACATCAGACTGAAGACTTTTATCATCCAGTTTTGGTAGAAAGAGAGAAACTATAAATCATGCAAATGGAAATTATTGAGCTTGTTTAAATTTATTGCGACTGACTTAAGGACAAGCTTACTTGTGTTTAAGTAAAGTTATATCTAAGTAACTGTACTTTCACATTATTTTGTTTTCTTTCCATGTGTGGTGCAGATAATCATCACGTCTGTTTTTCTCTATTTCTGGCTTGTTTTGATATTTTTACATAAACATTTAGGAGGAAATGAAATGATAATATGAATTATTATTGATAAACAAAAGCTTTACACCTTCAGGTGTATATTTCCATCTGCCCACCGTTTGTCGCATTAGGGTTATTGCTGGGCTAAGCCCCCTATTGTTGGTCACTGATTAAAGCTTCCAGTATCAATACATTTGCAGCCATATTGTCAGGAAGAAATGTAGCCTCCAGCTGTATCAGAGGATTTAATTCAGCCGTTCTTATCAGATTCTCATGCAGTCTAAGACAGGATAAATTTAATTAGCACTCAGAGGATTGGCGTTCTGAAGCAGAAGCTGAGATAATTAGAGCGGATTCATTAAGACAAAGCATAATACTCCCTGATTGAAATTTGTGAGAAGTTCAGAAACTTTGTGCTGCTGTTGGGTTTGTGTGTGTTTTTTATTTTATTTTTTAAGTAACATGTTTGTGTTGTGGTCAGGGCCGAGCCGGTGCTGGCCAGAATAAAAGAGAACCATAAGAGGATCATCCTGCCATCCATCGACAACATCAAGCACGACACCTTCGAGGTGGAGCGCTACGAGAACTCGGGCCACGGCTACAACTGGGAGCTGTGGTGCATGTACATCAACCCGCCCAAGCAGTGGTGGGACGAGGGAGACATGTCCGCACCCATCAGGCAAGAAACACTCACCCTAAATACTGTAAAAAGCATTGACCAAAGTTCTTGGGCGTTTGCATCAAAATGAAGGAATTATAGACTCAAAATAAGCTCCTATTTCTTGCTAAAAAGTTACTTGAAAGATAGTTTTGTCTTACTTCAAGTGAACTGAGATATTTTCACTAGAAACTAAACCAAAAATACTTGGTAAGATTTTGTGTTTTTGCTGTGATGTTTTTTTTCACACACTTTCTGCAAAAATCTGCAGCTTTAATATTGATGAAAAAGTTCTAGTCCCTCTGGAATATTATTTAACTTATAACAAGACATTTTCCCCTAGTTATAAGTGAACTAATCTGCCAGTGGAACTAGAACTTGGTTGCTAGGCAACACGCTGGGCCTGGCAGGGGGTTGCTAGGTAACGGTGCAGTGGAACATTCTACCAGTGGAACTAGAACTTTTTCATTAATATTAAGGAATTATTGACTTAAAACGAGCTGCTGTATCTTGCTGAAAAGTCACCTGTAAGTTAATTTTGTGTGTACTAAAATGTTTGCACTGGACCAAAAATACTCGGTAAGATTTTGTGTTTTTGCAGTGATAATTGCAAAAGCTTGTTAATTCAACAGGTTTTCCTTACAGTTTCTAAATTGTCTTTATCGCTGGTATTCTTGCTGCAGGACTCCTGCCATGATTGGCTGCTCCTTCGTGGCCAACCGGGACTACTTTGGGGAACTCGGCCTGCTGGACTCGGGCATGGACGTCTACGGAGGGGAGAACATCGAGCTGGGCATCAGGGTTTGTGTGTCACCCACTTTCCTTTTGTTCTTGAGTACTCTTTACGCCCGCAGGTTTAAATGGAGCAGTGGCCGCTGTAGCGTGGCATCACTGATAAATGAGGCCCCATTAAGTCTCCAGGAGGAGCGGTCCTGTGTGTGCCGCTGACAGCAGGCCCATAAAGATAAATAGGTCACATGAAGCAGGAAGCTTTGGGAATTTGCTTCTGCACACTTTCATTTAAAAGTCTGTCGTATTTTAAACTGTATTTTATTCAATTCTGCAGCAGAAAAGCAAATACTACAATACTCTCATTTAGTGAACTCTAAGCATCAGAGGATAAAGTAAAAATCCAAACTGCCTTCATTAATAAATTTTTTATAATTATTTTCACCAGCCCATGTATAGATGCTTGTGGAACATTTTGCCTGCAGGTTTGGCTCTGCGGCGGCAGCATGGAGGTGCTGCCTTGCTCCAGAGTGGCTCACATTGCTCGAATGAAGAAACCTTACCACAGCAACATCGCCTTCCACACCCGGCGCAACGCTCTGCGTGTGGCAGAGGTCTGGATGGACGAATACAAATCCAATGTGTACCTGGCCTGGAACATCCCCATGGAGGTGAGGAACTACGATGCTTAGCTTGGTTACACCTTCAGTTGGACCGATCTCCTTGAAGACAGAAACTATCTCAGGGTGTTTCCACCTGACAGTCCGGTAAACTCGGTTTGATCAGGGATCAAAATGGCAACATTTGTTGCTCTTCAGCTGCTGCTTTTCTTTCACACTCAACTGCATCAAACCAATCAAACGCTTTGAGAAACTGTTCCCCTCCTCACCTGTGGGGGCGCTGCAACAAGCCCCACATGAAAATCTCTGAAGACACTGGATACATTTCCATTAAGCTTAAAAATCCACAATTTGACATTTTGAAAGTAAAATTGTGTAATGGAAACAGCAATTTTGAAAATAATTCTTGTTTTTTGACAAAGTTTTGGCACTAGGAAGAAGTGTTTTTTTGTATGGAAATTAGAGCATTCTGGAAACACTTTTTATTGCATCACAGCTACATTTTTTGCTACTGTAGCTGTTTATACACTTCAAGTGATTAACAGCCGGATGTTATCACTGTGGGAAAAGAAGAAGACGACAGGAAGTGGTAGGAGGATGATGGCGCTCGTTTTTTAATGACTTATTGTATTAACAAACTTATTCACGTGATTTTAATTGCCTTTCTTGTTTAGTGGAAGTTTTGCATACGCTTGTAATGGAAATGCAGCTACTGAGTGCAGCTTCCTTCTTCATTAAGTGTAAATAGAAATGGAGTGGCATGAAATTTTAGAATAATAAGAAAGAAAAGTGTTTGAAATGTGCTGAAATGTTCCTAAATAACGAGAGTTTAGCTTCAGGATAATATACGTTCTATTGTTTGACTGTCAGGATAAAGACTTGCTGCAAAACGTTTGGTAAGAGCTCTACCTGAACAGCATCAATCTCACAGACTCCCAGTGAACTACAGCAACAAAAAAAGTATTTATAAAATATTTTGTCTATTTTCCATTTAAGTTTAGCTTCAACTTTACAGATCGTCAATGTTTTTGTTCTGTTTTTTCCCCTTGATTTTTTATTCTAATCATTTGCATCAATTAGTACATGCAAACAAACAAATGTTTATTTAACACAAAATACCATTATTTTATTTACTCATACCAAATCCTCCGAATAATTAGCGTTAATAACACAACATAATGTAGCTGCTTATGTGCTTCATTTTTCTCTAATCCTCAAAGAAATTTATATACAGTACTTACAACCAGGGAAAAATGTGTTTTTGAAAATTAATTAGGTGTGAGACACTGCAGACGTCTTACTGCCCTGTCGGTGTTAATTTAGTGCAGCGATCACAGCAGCATCAAACTAATTAGCATATAGCTAATTAGCTTACATACACTGACTTCTAAAGCAATTTTTATACAACTTCAGCAAATGTTCAGGCTGTCCCTGATAGTAATACACAAATGCTTTGTATTTTCTTTACATTAATTCACTAATGTGCTCCAACAATGCAGCTAACCTACAAACTGCTATCTCAGATGCTACGTCTAATTTTATTGTGTACATTTAAAGGCAATGTAAAAAAAACTAAAAGTGAATCACATTTAAATGACTGATGTTACAGAAAACAGCAGAAAAATAACTTTTCAGACAGAAAAAATTAACAAAGCTGTACAGCATAAACCTGTTGTTAATTTCTAGCTAATTTTTAGAATCTCTTCTGATTAATAACTTTAACTTTTGGTTTGATTTTGACAGATAAATTATGATCGAAAATGTCTGAAAATAATCAATGTGAAAATCTCAATATACAGTAAAGTAAGACACATTCAGAAGTTTGTAAACAAGTAATAAGTAGAGTTACTTGCTACTTTCTGGTAAAAAAGTTCAGAAACACAAGCAAAAAGGACTCAAGATAATGGTTGTAATGTGTTACAGATTGCTACTTTAAATGTTATAAAATAGATTACTGTTAGTTTATTGTTTTTTATTAATTTATCCATACAAATATGGCTAAATTCATGGTAACATTGACATTTTTGAGGGATTTCTAATTTTTAAAGAAAATCTTTGCAGTAGCAAAATTCCTTTATTAAAATGTCCAAATAAAGAAAAGGCAAATGTATCCATGTTGATGGTAAAATCAGTTTAAAATATCCAAAATTCTAATGTTTTTTGCTCCTTTTTGCACTGCAAAGCAAGACATACAACTCAGGTTCCGGCCAAAACGTTTCTGGGGCCCGAGGCAGATTTTTACTTGGGGGTTCCTCATACCAACATGTCAACACCAGATGCTTTATCATTCCTCAGCTACTCTATTCTACCTGCTGTCATTAGCATCTTTTATAACTATCTTACGACATAGCAGTGTTGTTATGATGTTAACCTTACAGGAGTAAAAAACTAAAAAAAATGGATTTTAAAATCCAGAGAAATATTTAAGTGTGCCATATTAAGTACTTGAAAGTAACACCAGCTGATGAACACTAAATTTACAATAAGCAAGATAACAAGTTTGATATCTTACATCAAACTACAGCAGCCATCAAAAGGAAGACATCAACTATTATTTATGCAACGACGATAAAAACAATGTGTAAATTGATTTTCCATTTGTAGGAGCATATTACTCTGTTATTTTGAATGTATATATTATGCTAGCTTGGTGCTTTTGGAAGCTTTAAGCAGCCGCTAAACTCGCATATGCTTTGGGCCGGCCCTGACACAACTAATACCATTAACTTTCCCAGCGTTTGACAAAATAAATTCAGACTGTGACTCCTTCACCTGGAATTGGGGAGTTGCGTCAGTATTTCACATTTACAGACCAGGATTGTACCAGTGGTTTGTGTTTTGCAGAACCACGGCATCGACTTCGGCGATGTTTCTCAGAGAGTCGCACTGAGGAAGAATCTGCAGTGCAAGAGCTTCCAGTGGTACCTGGACAACGTTTACCCAGAAATGAGGAGGTACAACAACACGGTGTTCTACGGAGAGGTGAGTTGGTGGTACATAGTTACATTTATCTGAGTAACTGTTTTGAAAATGTTTTTTTAGGAATATTTTTACTACACTGTACTTTGAGCAATTTTATTATGAAGTATTTCTACTCTTACTTGAGTAAAATTTCTGGATTTTCTACCTATTGAATGAAAAAATAAACATGTTTTGATGCAGACACACCTGCAGTTTTTGTTAAAATGTTTTATTGAAAGTAAGTTTTTTATTGATTTGGAAAATTTTGCCTGATTTTTTTTTTTTTTTTTTTTTTTTGAATTTTTTTTTTTTTTGTTTTTAAAAAACCAAAATTTCCCCTTAACTTTTGTTTTTGGCC